TTGAGTCTACCGTATTCATGTGTGTCTGTCTGTCTGTGTGGGTTTGTGTTTACTTGTGGGGGGTGTTGTTGAGAGTATGGAGGTTATGCTACACAGATGGCTGCTCTCCTCACTTCTCTGTTTGACTCCTGTGGAAAAAATGTGACACTCACCATTTGACAAAAATGGTCATAACAGCCTAAAATAACAAGAATTTTGGTCTCTTCTAGGACAATCATTAACTGAAATAATATAAAGGTAAATGCAGAAATTCCTTGGTTTGACAAAAAGAAAAAACATTTTAGATAAAAAAATAAAAGGGACAGAATGGATGTATTTTTAGAAATTACACTTCAAATATTGATCATACTCTCTTGATAAATTTTGCAGTTCAGTAAATTGGCAATCTAAAAGACATCCGACTCTTCACGACTTTTATCATCTTTCTTTTTTAATCGGTCTTTGCACTCACACACCCTGTGAATAACCTCACAGCATAAAGACAAAAGCCAGTCCGTTCAGTAATTTTATGTGGTTAGATGTCGGCCTCCAGAGATCTCCTGTTTGCGTCTCAGAGAGTGGACATCTTGAACAGCACCAGTATGGCAGCAGGTCTCAGGCGTCCTGAAGGAGCGGACACTGGGGGAATCTGCTGTCGTGGCTAACTCTGCTCCTCGGCTAGTGACAGCTGCTACCACACACTGGGACGTGCTGAGTCAGACACGACCCCAACATGGTGTATGTTGTCTGCATGAAGGTGTGTGTGTGTGTGTGCGTGCGTGTGTGTGTGTGTGTGTGTGTGTGTGTGTGTGTGTGATAAAATCTCTGCAGTAAAAACTAGAACTTACCACCTCACGGTTGTATGTTGTATGCCAACACCAACCAGTTAAGCTGAAGTTTAGATCCATGTCTGTCCAGACTCATACAGTGAAGACTTTGAAGGAATTTAATCATTTAATCAAAGGTATTAAGCGTATTTTTTGTGAAATGGAAGTTATCACTATATTGACATGTATCATTTCAGTGAATAATTTCCAGTGAGAAACACGCCATCTTCATTTAGAGACTATTTTTACAGAAGACTGATATAGAGCTTCATTACACTGTGCAAAGTCAATCACCCAAAGCTCAATATCAGCAAAACCAATGAGCTTGTGGTCGACCACCAGAAGAACAGGACAGAACCCAAAGCAGTAGCCATGACAGTAGGCAATGCTTCAAATATGGATGTTGCTGCAAAAAAGCTACAGACTCTAAAACATGGATGCTTCACACTTAGCTACAGCCTAGCAGCACAGAAGATCTATACAATCAGCACAGTTTCAAGGTGGACACCCAAGAGCTATGTATAAGGCTCTGCAGTAGACAAGTATGGCTTTCTCTTTTTGTTTTGTTTGTTTATTTAAATAGTGTGCGTCAAGTTTGACGTCACAGGCAGGCCGGAAAAACAGGTTGATAAACAGTAGAAAGCAGCATGGAGGCCACTGAAATTGTCACGGTGGTTGATTCTTTTTTACATTTCTTATTTATTCAGTCTCTCTCTCTGGAAAACTCAGCGCTGAACAAGTCTGGAATGATTTACAAGCACTGCTTGGACAGAGATGGACAGTATTTTGTGGCGTGTAATTGCGCTGCATTGGCAAAGGGTTTAAAATTAGCATGTCCACCTAGGTTTTGTAACTCCATTATTGTCAATCAAAGACAATCAGAGCTGGAACTGATAAACCCATGACTGCTGCAGAGGCATTTGTCCTGGGAGTGAATGCCGAATGTAACCTTTCCCACTGAATACAAAGCCTGATGTTTGTAGGCATTTATTGTTTTTTTTGTGCAGTGGGAAAGAAATGTCCCAGAAGAAATGAGTTATGATGTTGAATAATGGCCAGAAAAGTGTTTTTGCAGAACATTATGATGTCACAGTGAAGTTGACTCTTGACCTTTTCAATATAAAATGTTGTAATTTCATCATTTTATCCTATTAGACATTTGTGTTGAATTTTGTAATAATTAGCAAATTAATTATTGAGTTTTGGTCAAAAACATGTTTTGTGAGGTCACAGAGACCTTGACCTTTGACCAACAAAATCTAATCAGTTCATCCCTGAGTCCAAGGCTGTGTTTCATTAGTGGTTCCACTTTCCCTGATTCACTTAACATCAGCTTTTGGTATTACGTAACAGCATACGTTGCACAGAGGCCACTTGGAGAGCAGAGGGGAAGTGGTCAAAGGGGTAGCGGGGGATTAAAATGGAATGCACCTATTCTTTTACACTTTCAGCTCAAACTATCATGCATCGACGGCCAGTTGCAGGTTTAACACTGCACTCCTTTTTATAAACGATCCGGAATACCTGCAGACTGCAGGTATTGCAAAGGCGTCTTCTGCAGATAATTGCAATATGTCTGCGCTTGGTAACTAGCTGCATCAGTTTCTGATTTAGAAATTTCTATTTTTGATCTGTATTGTGATTATCAAAACTGTTATTGTCACAGATTCATCTTCTCTTTCAGTTTTAAGTAAAGAGTGTCACAGCTCAAGTTTTTTAGGTTGTGTTTTTATTCATTCATTCATTTATTCATTCATTCATGTTCTTCCCTGTTTTACGTTGAATCTCCTCTCATTTCAGATCACTTCACTTCCTGCCCCTGTGTGTTTTCCCTCCCTTTTGATGGCTTCACCTGTGTCTGATTGTCTGTCCCGCCCTGATTAGCCTCACCTGTGCCTTGTTATCCCTCCCCTCACCACAGTATTTAGAGGTCGTTTACACGTACACAGTGATTTTGATAAACGGAGACATCTTCCTTCATTTGTGCCCTTTGTTTACACGCAAACGGAGATTTCTCCTCTGAAAACGAGTCTTTCTAAAAACTCTGGCCAGAGTGGAGATTTTGGAAAACTCCGGTTGCGCGTTTGCATGTAAACTGAGATAAACAGAGATAAACGGAGTTATGGGCAGCCGACGTCACAGTATGTGCCGGAACTTGCGCCTATGTCAAAAGTGCGACCTATGTTGCTATGGTGACAATGGATATATGGAAGGCTTGAGCTTCTCATTACACTGCCACCTACATGTTTGGCATGCTCTTGTGTGTGTGTGTATATATATACACGGGTAAGTGTAAACGAAGATCTTTTTGAAAACGGAGATGGTGAAATGTCCGTTTATGAAAATAGCCGGCCACGTGTAAACGGCCTCTCAGTGTGTGTCTTGTTTTCTCTCTGTGCGAGTCTGTCTTAGCTCCTTGTGTGTCTAACATTCCAGCCTTTTGTTTCCCTGTGCCTCTTGTTTTTTTTGGACCTGTTTTTTGACTTTGCCTCTGCCTTGTCCCTTTGGATTTGTTTGCCTCTACTTATCGTCCTGTGTGTACCAAACCTTTTGACTAGTAAAGACTCATTTACTTACCTGAACTGCCTCATGAGTCGTGCATTTGAGTCCAATCTCTCCTGGTTCACCAATTTTAACAGTTTTATGAGTTTTACATACATTACTGCAACCTAACCATGTGTGTAAACTTGGTCCCTCAGCCCTCCGAGGGTCAATCTCACCAAGTTCACTTAAGTTTTTCAGACAAATGCAACAACACTTATGATGGCAGTGGGGATTTCCCCAAGAGCAAGTGCAGAGGGTAGTCAACGAGGGCATGTTGAACAACTAATAAAACACAGCCCAAGTGGAAGTTTCTGCCAGATGTAATGAAATTCTCTCTAAGTGTTCAAGAGACCTTGACCTTTGACCACCAAGATCTAATCAGTTCCTCCTTGAGTCTAAGGCTGCAGTTGGGTTGATTTTTTTTTTTTTTTTTTTTTTTGGCTTATGAAGGTTCCTTACTGAGTGGAATGACCCGAAAGTATCAAAGTGGTAGCAATGACAAGAGCTGGTTGAATTTTCTAAATGCTATCTAAAAGTCCTTCAGTGCTTCCTTTCTTATCTCCCTTAGCATTGGGTACACTGGACCATTCTTTACGAAAGAGAAGAGAAATAATGCTGGCCCACAAGTCCTTGCAGTTGCAACATTTCAAGTGACCCATGTCAATTACATCTGCCAGTGCATAGTGTAAGGTCAATGAGATTCTCTCAGCACCATGTTTGTCTTTATAAATTATCCTTCACATCCTTCCCTGACTTAATGACGTTTTCCATCAAGGTCAAGGAAAAGTATCTAGGAAAAGACAAAGGTATAATGTGGATGTTTGTGCCAAATTTGAAGAAATTCCTTTAGATATTGCGTTCACTAGAATGGAAAGGGACAAAGTGGACAACCCGAGCTGTCTACAGCACAACGGCATAAAAATATGCATGAAGAAAAGATATATACTCCTTGTCACAGCATTAAAAATAGCAAAGCAAAGCGGCAAAGCATTGTTTTGCTCAAACATGTTTGCTGACACCAGACCACCATGTTTCCTGTATTTAAAGCTTTTACAACAGATTTCTTTTTGAAGCATAGATGGCTCACCTGAACTAGAAATGTCCCCCAACCTCTCAGGAAATCCCCTTTTGAGCCACCGTTTCTATGTTACGCAATTTTTTTGTCCCCAGAGGACGTGTGCATCAGCTCCTCACTGTCACCTCTCCCCTCTTTTTCCCGAGGAGTGTCTGATTGGTTTTTTAAGGAAATGCCAATCTACATTTGAGTTTTTAAATGAGCAGCTGGAGCTTTTGCATGTATCAGCGAATTATAAATAACAACAAATACAATTACGTCCATAATGGATTCTTGCAGTGTTGCACTGTTAGAGCAGATCATCCCAATCAGGCTGTTTAAAGAATCAGTAGTATAAAATGAATGATAGCTTCAGTGTTAACCTGTTCCTCTGTGTTCGGCTTGGATTGGGTCCATCACTGCAAACATATGTTGAAGTGTTGTGTAAACCAACAGAATAAACCCAAAATGCATTATTTTTTTCATGGCAGCAGTGTTACATCACATGGAAATAGATTAGACATTATTTCCTAAAGTGCAGAGGCTGGTGAGTAGTTCTAGCCTCCTGTATAATCTCTCTTTGTATCTCACCTCAGGCTGATTGAGAAGCGGCAGCCCAATGGAGAAACCATTGAATTGTCAGCGGAGGGCCGTCCTGAGCTGGTGGAGGAGAAGGAGCTGCCGGTGGTGGACTGTACCTGCTTCGGCCTACCGAGGCGGTACATCATCGCCATCCTGTCTGGCTTGGGATTCTGCATCTCTTTTGGTATCCGGTGTAACCTGGGTGTGGCCATTGTAAGCATGGTCAACGACCACACTGTCTACAAAGGCAACAAGGAAGTACTTGTGGTAAGTGGCAAAGCAGAAATTCAGAAGATTTTGGACTTTTCTTGTTTGGTTTTTAGGGTTTATATCTGTTTCTCTATAATCTGCTTTATTTCTGCTCATATGACTGTGTCTGAACCTTAAAGTTAAGTTTCAGTCATATATCTTCTTTTCTCCAGGCTGCACAGTTCACCTGGGACCCTGAGACGGTGGGGATGATCCACGGCTCCTTCTTCTGGGGCTACATCGTCACACAGATCCCGGGTGGCTTTATATGTCAAAAATTTGCAGCCAACAGGTGAATGTCTTCCAGTTTACAATGTCTTCCCTGATATAGGCATTTCTGTAATCTGATGTACTATAAAGAGGTTGATTTATCAATCTGAGGAAGTTTGTTTGTCTTTTGTGTGTTTCAGAGTATTTGGCTTTGCCATAGTGGCCACATCAACTCTCAACATGCTGATTCCATCTGCTGCTCGCTGCCATTACAGCTGCGTCATACTGGTCAGGATATGCCAGGGCCTTGTTGAGGTACAGTATGTGTCTTTGTGCTTACAGGACTCTGTGTGAGACTACATGCATGAGTGTTTCCTGACTGTGTCGTGCCCTACAGGGTGTATCATACCCAGCCTGCCACGGGATCTGGGCCAAGTGGGCACCTCCTCTTGAAAGAAGTCGATTAGCCACAACAGCCTTTTGTGGTAAAGTTTCATGCCTAACTGACACTAAAACTCAATATCTACAGAAACTTTGAGAATTAAAGAAACTGTATACATTCTATGCCCAATATATCACAATATGTAATAGGCATATAAATCATATAATGTACTGTATATAGGGAAAATGAATAACTTTTCTTTTTGCTTTATGTTTGATTTGTTCTTAGGATCCTATGCAGGGGCGGTGGTGGCCATGCCTTTAGCTGGGATACTGGTGCAATACACTGGGTGGCCTTCAGTATTCTATGTCTATGGTTAGTATCCTTATATTCAAATGTGTTTGCTGACTGAAGGACTATGACTGCTCAGCCAAGCAATATATTAATACATACATTAGATGAAAATGTTTCTAAATCAGCAAGTGTGCTTCTGTTGCTCACATTCAAGACTGAAAGGTTTGAATGGCTTTTATGTGACTCTCAAGGACTATATGTGTCTGCATCGAGTATTTAAAATCAAAATATCTTGCCAGCCTACCACTGATGTTGTTAATTAACAGTGCTGCAATATTAACAGCAACCTGGAGGGAAGTCTGAGCAGCTTTGTCTTCATTTTCTCTCAGTTCTGTACCCTTGAACTCTCTTGCTCTTTCTCAGCTGTACCCATATCTGTTTTTTTCTTTCTTTCTCTCCCTTTCCCAGGCAGCTTTGGGATATTCTGGTATCTGTTCTGGGTTCTGGTGTCATATGAGAGTCCCGCAGCCCATCCCACCATCACACCAGAGGAGAGGAAGTACATTGAAGATGCAATCGGAGAGTCTGCAGCATTTCTTAATCCTCTCCAAGTAGGGCCCTGTATGATGTTCATGTGTCACCAATCAATCTAACACTGGAAATCTCTCAGACTTGCACACAAACAATTGTTCATTCACGCTCGGCTGACTCTCTATCTCTTGATCAGTGAAGTCAGTGGATCCTAGTAATATCTTATTCCTTTTTGGTGGCAGAAATTTAAAACCCCATGGAGACACTTCTTCACCTCCATGCCAGTCTACGCCATCATTGTGGCCAACTTCTGCAGGAGCTGGACCTTTTACCTGCTGCTCATCAGCCAGCCAGCCTACTTTGAAGAAGTCTTTGGCTTTGAGATCAGCAAGGTGAGATTGTATCATGTATACAGCTATAAAGACCAGCAGCTGTAGTTTGGGTTTTTAAGAAATGTCTTCTATCAATTGGAAAATGCCCAAAGCTACAGTCATCTGCTGTAGCCATTGGAGGGTGCTCAAAGGCACTGCAACTGGAGCTATAGGAAAATTCTAGTATTTTTCAGCCTCTCGTTGTTGTAGATAACTTTGCACTCGCTGCCTTAAGCATTTTAAATGATTTATTTAAACTTTATCTGGAAAGTTTTAGGTTTGTGCTGCTTGGTATGATATTCACTTTGACACATTTTGATTGGATTTATTATTGAATTTATCATAAAATAAAAAGCTTACTTGTACTTGAGCAGCATCCCCGCCTTTTTTTAATTGTTTGAAGTTGTGAATTCTTGTCTGGGACAAGGCTGTTTTCTGACACAGGGCAAGATTGGAAGTTAAAAGGTCTATGAGTTATTGTTTTCAATCCTTTTTCAACATTCGTCCTCTCATTGTTTCTAACACTCAAATGAAAACATGTTCTCGTGTCTCTTTCTAACTTGCACATAAACAATCTCTCACGCTCTCCCCCTTTCCTCTTTCAGGTGGGCATGGTGTCAGCTTTGCCCCATCTGGTGATGACCATCATTGTGCCTGTTGGAGGCCAGTTGGCAGACTACCTGAGAACCCACAACCTGATGTCCACCACCAACGTCAGGAAGCTCATGAACTGTGGAGGTGAGAGTTTCAAACAGGAGCGGGTGATAGCTGGAGTAGGGTAAAGAGGAATGACAGCAAGGGGGAGAGAAGAGAGCACAAGACAATGAAAGAGCAGAAACTGAATTGCACACTGGAACAAAAAGATGGCATTTCGCCTTTGCTGTAGTGAAGAATTTTACAAATTAAGCAACATATAAATGGAGTTCAACATCCTCTCTGATCAGCAGAAACACAGATAATACAAAGCAAAATGTAAATGAACTAAACTATGGACATATGTGCTTATAAAACAGAAGTTTTGCCCTGAACCAGATGTAACATCTCACCTATCTAGAAGCCAAAGATCTTTAGTTGCACAGCTGAGAGCTGGTATTCTTCCTCTGGCCACTGAGGTTTGGTGATAAAACGATATTCAGGAGGAAAACAGAGAATGTGAGTTATGTGGCTTAAGAGAGCTAATGTTGCATGAAATGCCTCCTCTAAACCATGACATCTTCTAGTTTAGTTTTGATATGTTTGAGTATGCCAGTTTTGTTGCAAAAGCCTGGAAAAGAAGGCAAGAAAATTTGTTTAACTAGTTTGATTTTTTTCAGTGCTACTCAGTAAATTCCTTTGTGTGCGATCCATGAACTTGGTCAATGTACTATGCTTTTGCTGCTCTGTTCCATTTGTCCTCTGTTTGGTGTTGTCTGAAAATATGTTTGGGCTCTGGTCCTGGATTATGCAGGCTGAGCATATTTCCATGCAATGACACCAAAATAAAAAAAACTCATTCATTCATTAATTCATTAATTTACTGAATCAAAATTATATTTCATTAGTGTATTTGTTAGTGATTGCCATCATTTTCCTGAAATGTAGTTACATCATTTGCCTGGTACCTTTCACCCAGCAACTGGCATTCAGAGGGTTTGGAGTGCCGCAGCTGCCAGTACTGGAGTCCTATTAATATTTTAGCACAACTTAAAGGTTGCATCAGTCTTTCTTCTCCCTGTGCATAAACACATGTACCATTTCTAACGTAATTAAGTCACTACTGTAGAACAGGTGACTGCTTGTTGAGACAGAGTATAGATTTGTGAATAGTTCACCTCATTCCTTCCTTCTTGTGTTAGTTTTTGATGTGTTTACATGTTTCAGGTTTTGGGATGGAGGCCACCCTCCTGCTGGTGGTGGGATACTCTCATTCAAAAGGTGTTGCCATTTCCTTTTTGGTCCTCGCTGTGGGTTTCAGTGGATTTGCCATCTCAGGTGAGAGACGTTATAAACAAGCATGCTGTGTACAAGCCAAGAGGTAGTCCAGCACATAGACCCTGTAAAACACCAAACTGTCATTTCCAGTCTTTATGCTAAGCTAAGATTACCAGCTGCTGGCTGTAGCAACATATTTACCTTACAGACATGAGAGTGGTATCAACGTCCTCTCAGCAAGAAAGTAGGTGTATTTCCCAACATGTCGTACTATTCCTTTAAAGGGTAACTTGGGTATTTTTCAACCCAGACACTTTTTCTTATGTTTTTGTGTCTAAGTGACTGTGAATGGAAACAACAATTTTTGAAAGTGGTCCAATATTTAGCAAGAGGCCCGCAGCCACAAAATGGGGTAATGTAACCACAAGGGGCATTTGTGCAGTGACATTGTACATCCACTTAAAAGGCTTGTTTTTCCTACTGACAGGCTCGGATTTTTATTATTACTGTCTGACAACATTATGGAAAGGATCCCTACCGACACAGACCTTTTTGTTAAAGAGTAAGAAACAGCCTTGAAATTGCTATCGCCAAACTCACCAGACTTCATTTAAATAAACAGTAATTTTATCATCGTAAAACACACTTCAGTCAAAGTCATTAAAACAAAATTAAGTTCACACAAAAAAAAACTTGGTTTGTCTGTCCAATGTTACAACAATCACCAACTTTGTTTTGGCTGAAATAAACGCTTAATTCACCCAATTTGCTGTGAAAATATGTTGGCTATGAACACGCTAAAATTACTGTTTATTTAAATGGAGTTTGGTTGGTTTGGTGATAGCAATGTCAAGGCTGTTTCTGGTTAAACAAAAAGGATCTTACTCTTTAAGAAAAAGGTATATCTCTGTAGGGGTCCCTTCTATAATGTTGTCAGACACTTACAGTAATAATCTAAACCTGTCAGTGGCAAAAACAAGCGATTTTAGTGGATATACTGTACATTGAAAGTACAAATGCCCCAGTGATTGCATTGTAGCCTGTTTTGTGACTGCTGGCTGCAGCGCTCTCACTCAATACAGGACCAATTTCAGAAATGGTTGTTCCCATTAGCCAGACACAAAAACATAAGAAAATGACATTATTCTTTTACACTGATGAGGGCTGACTTGGTATCATGATGATTAAAACAACAGTAATACCTCCCTAATTGATGCCTCTTTACTATGTTGTTGTTAAAAATGTCAGTAACATGTTAGACATTTTACATTTGGATTTGAAACTGGGGATATAATGTTGTGCACTGCCTTTGTTCTTTCACTCAGGGTTTAATGTCAATCACTTGGATATCGCCCCTCGATATGCCAGCATACTGATGGGCATCTCAAACGGGGTGGGAACACTATCTGGAATGGTGTGTCCTCTCATAGTGGGAGCCATGACCAAACACAAGGTAAAAGAAAACATTCACTTGTATCAACTTAATAATGCCATGTGTTAGCTTTCAAACTCACCTGTGTTCCATGCCCTTTTACAACTTTTCAGACACGTGAAGAGTGGCAGTATGTCTTCCTTATAGCTTCCCTCGTTCATTATGGAGGAGTGGTTTTCTATGGTATGCTGACTTTGAATATAGTGTTTTGTGAGGCATGTGAAGAAGACCTCAAAGTGCTGGCTGATGAGATTTTGTTTCTCCCTAGGACTCTTTGCATCGGGAGAAAAGCAAGCATGGGCGGACATAGAGGACACGAGTGAGGAGAAGTGCGGTATTATAGATGAGGATGAACTGGCCAATGAAACAGAGGAGCTCTACCGTGGAGGTGGGCAATACGGGGCCATAAACCAACCAGTTGTTGGATCCAACGGAGGAGGGGCAGGAGGAGGAGGAGCTGGTTCTGGATGGGTGTCGGACTGGGATAAGTCTGAGGAGTACGTGCAGCCACCTGGATACAACTCTTATATGTACGGTGGAGAAGAGGAGAGGGAGCTGACATAGAAGATCAACGTGATATGAGTTTAAAAACAAGATAAAGAAAAGAGGAAGATTGTTTTTGGAAGGGGATTGTAAGAAAGTCACTGCTTTACTGAATGGACCTGCTGTGTGCTTTTGTACATTATTAACGATTGCACATATCAAAAGTATGCATCTGATTAATTCCAGTGTGTGTGTGTGTGTGTGTGTGTGTGTGTGTGCGTGCATGCGTGCGTGCGTGCGTGCAAGTGTTTGTGTGTGTGTAGGCACGTGCATGCAAGTGTTAGAGTGATCAATGTACACAAACACACACAGTATTCATTAGCGAAAACTGAACTCATATTCCAGACTTCCTTCCTGCTCCTGAGCTCGTTGTGATTGGTCAGGTGTTCTGTTTCCACGACATCAGTGAGGAGATTCTATCTGTGCGTGTGTGTGTATATGTGTGTGTGTGGTGGACTTTTTGCCTGTACAGCAACTCTCTCAAGCCACTGGCATTGTGTTGTATTTAAAGTTTTATGTGTAAGCCACACATTTAGGTTTTTTTTTTTTTTGCTGGGAAAGCACCTTTGGGGCCTCAGTTTGGAAACACAAAGGTTTGGTTTGGCAAAATCAAAAGACTTGCAACTCAGTTTGGACTTTAACCAGTGACTTCCCCAAGGGGGGGGGGGGGGCATGGCCTCCCTGATCCAATTAATATTAATAATAATGAATACCCAGATCCAATCAAGTTGCAGGAGAGAATCCTGGAAAACTAACAATACTTTACTGAGCACCTGTTGGAAAAAAAATTAGATGATTTATTTCCCTTACAAGGGTGGCACGGTGGTGTGGTGGTTAGCACTCTCGCCTCACAGCAAGAGGGTTGCCGGTTTGATCCCGGGCGTGGGAGCCCTTCTGTGCGGAGTTTGCATGTTCTCCCCGTGTCAGCGTGGGTTCTCTCCGGGCACTCCGGCTTCCTCCCACAGTCCAAAGACATGCAGATTGGGGACTAGGTTAATTGATAACTCTAAATTGTCCGTGAGTGTGAATGGTTGTTTGTCTCTATTGTCAGCCCTGCGATAGTCTGGCAACCTGTCCAGGGTGTACCCTGCCTCTCGCCCGATGTCAGCTGGGATAGGCTCCAGGCCCCCCGCGACCCTCAAGAGGATGAAGCGGTTAGAAGATGAATGAATGAATGAATTTCCCTTACAAAAAACATGTGATTGTCTAAAAAAAAAGAGTTGCAGTATGTAAAATGTGGTTGGAAACCTGTTTTGACAAATAAGTACAAATTTAAAGTATAAGAGTATTAATCTGTTGTTAAATGGCATTACATTTGGTGAAGAGCGCATTATGTATTGTTTAAGGTGCGTTACCCAAAGTTTAGGACTAGTTGAGTGCAAAGACTTGAGACTTAGTTGTGATTTGCAAAACTGACATGGTCCCACCTTTGAAACTTAGCTACTAAATACAAAATGTGATGTCACGTCTGTGGACTGCTCACACTTTCTAGTCTATATTACTTTCAAGGCTCTCAGCCTTGATAGAAATCACACTGAGCATATGATAAAAAAAATCAATACACAAACTAAAAGCTAATGTGTTTTTATGAGCGAGGCCCCTTGTGGACAATCTTATCCAGATGCTGGATGCATCCAGTTAATTTCCCTTTGCCAATGCAAACATTATGATTCCAAAGCAATGCATAATTAAAGTATGCACACACATGGCGATGACTTTCCAATTATTGAGTCAAAGAGGAATAAGGTGCTTAGGTGTTGTATCGGTCTGTATTTGTGTGTTTAAAGCTGTGAAGCTTTTGTTACAACAGGCTCCCCTTTATGTGTGTGTGTGTGCACTGGAATGTGCAAAGGTGTGTTTTTGAGCTTGCATGTGGTGTCTAGCTGAATCTCACCTGGGTCTGACCAAACTAGGTCACGTCCAACCACGTTTATGGGTCAGATGAGTAATCATCTGACATTTGTGACTTTCCATTTGGTATGTGCGCTCCCATTAGAGAGGTGGCCGAGAATGACAAGTAGAGTGTGATAGTTGCTGAACTGTTCCACTGCGTAACCAGCATGGAACAACAGTTATAATATTCGCAGGCACACCACAGCACGTGCTGCCTCTGTTTCGGCCTTTCTCTGTGTCTCTGTGGCTGCCTCTCCCTCCGTTTTCCTCCCTGTATTTAACAGGATACTCTCTGTCTTCTCATCTCTGCTGATGCTGTTTCAATATCTTCAGTATGGAGGCAAAAAAGAGATATAAATATTTGAATTTTGAAAAAACAGATTCAGGTTGCTTAAATTTAATTGGCCAAAACATTCAGGCTTGATTGCCTGTCCTGATTTATTTATTTATTTATTTATTTATTTATTTATTTATTTATTTATTTATTTTCAACTTAAATCTTTAGTTATAAATTTGACCAATTGAATTTGAGCAGAGGCCCCGGATAAGCAGATGGATGGATGGATGGATGGATGGATGGATGGATGGAATTTGAGCACCCTGAATCTGTGTGTATGTGGGTGTGTGTGGGTGTGTGTTTTGTGTTGTTTTTTGGATCTAGATTTGTGAAACTGCAAATCATTTCATATTTTGATTTCAAAAAGAAACTGAGAACAAATACATTTCGACTGAAAAAAATCAGGATGCTTAAATTCAATTGGTCAAATTCAGATCTAAAGATTAAAGTTTAAAAAACAAATTTTAAAAAACTCAAATAGCAACATCCAGGACAGGACAAGCAATCAAGTTTGAATGTTCTGACCAGTCGAATTGACCAATGTTTAATTGAATTTTTATATCTGAGTATGACCAGTTAAATTTGAGAAACCTGAATCTATTTTTTTAATTATGAAACTTGAATTCTTCGATCTGAATTTGTGAGCAGTAAGAAAAATTAAATGTCATATTTGAATTTCAAAGAGGCATTACAGCGCAAACAAATTCAGATACATGGTTTTCTAAGTAAAATTCTTCAATGCTATGAATTCAGTGATGTTTGAATTTCAAAATTAAGTCTCCAGTGGCTGTTAAAATTCAAATACCTATGTCTATTAATTGCCTCAATACTTTAGTACATAAATGACAGCCACTTTTGAGTTGGTGGGTCAGAGCTTTTCAGATTGTCTTTGTGTCTGTGTGTGTGACAGTGAGTGTGTTGTTGTGTTGGGTGCAGGTGCTGAAACATTGTGCGGTGAGCATGTTTTAATGAGCACAGCAGTGCAGTATCTCGCCATCCCTCTCTTCCTTTTACACACACAAACATATACACACACACACACACACACACACACACACACACAGGGTGCTAATTTTATGCACGCACAGTCAAATGCACCATGCACAGAGTGCAGAGGGAGTGGTGGCACACTATTTTGTATTGACATGGCTGTATGGTGTGAAGCGCACCCATGGAAACAAGAAGAGTCTATTATAATCCATTATCAAAGGGTGTATTAAGGTTTGGTAACAATCATGGCCAATCACATCAGCGCCTCTCGTGCCCTTTAAATGCAGCACCCTCTTCATCTTGACACACTGACAGCTGGGTAATGGAGTCCAGAGGTGCTTCTCCTCAGAGGACACTAACATGCTCATACAGGAGAGGAACTGTCGCATTGTACAAGCTGCACAGTACATTTTTCTGCGCTGGCACATACAGTAGATAGAGCCGACATACATGAAACAACATGTGCATGCACACACAAACATGCACACACACACAACTTTTGCCCTCTGCGTGTACTCACAGGTCATGCCAACACACAGTGTTTTTTTATTTTACTTATCTATTAAAAAGTACATTTGCAGACAGCTCTTTTTCAGATCAAGAATCTAATTCTCTTTAACGTGTAGAGGGTTTGTGATGTGAGCTCACTTTTGTGAGAAAATACTCTGTTGGAATGTTAAAAAGAATTAATTTGGTTCAAATGAGGGTTTCATGGTGAAATGTGTTAGTATGTCAATAAATTATTTTTAAAAGTGATTAAGGCAAATTTTGTTTTGGGTGAAGTGTCTAAAAGACATGAATGATTATCCCTGTGAACAATTTTATTTCTAAGTGTTGTATCAGTGTATTTTTAATCAAGTTTCTCTTTGTCTCAGTTTATGGCTGTTCCAATGTTGTCCTCCTCCTCCTCCTTGATGAAATGTGTGGTGGGAAAAAGTGTAAAAATAAAAAAAGGAAACAATCATATTTAAACATGCAGAGATGTGGAAAATATTCTATGTATAAAAGATGTAAATGTGAGATGATATCCTTATCTATAATAAAAAATTAAGCGATTTAAAATGAGGTCACTATTTCAGCACAGTCATGTCATTAGGATGACTGACAGCATGATGACACATTAAATTAGTGTTGATTTTTTTTTTTTTTTTTTTTTTTAGGCCTACATCATGAGCGCAATGTCAGTTCTCTGTCTTTCTCTGTCTTTTTCTCAGGACAGATGGATGCAGGATTATCGCTGTGATTTTAGGCAAAGATTAGATAGGAGAGCAGATGCACTCAGTGGGAGAGTGAGGCAGAAACATGGACGTCACAGACAAGGGAGGTGAGGATGACTGACCAGAGGGTGGGGCATGATGCCTGCTATGTGTGTGTGTGTGTGTGTGTGTGTGTGTGTATGTGTGTGTGTGTGTGTGTGTGTGTCTGTGTGTCTGTGTGTGTGTATGTGTGTTCAATGCAGTGCAACTGTAAGTAAACCTTTAAAAAAAGTGCTTGAAATGGATATTCCTAAATATTATTAATATAACTTATATTACTTTGTTTCCTCACCCTCTCAACATAATTACTTCTCAACATACCTGCTGTTATTTCGTTCTTAAGTGTTTCGCTATGGTCTTTATTTTGAAAGAATATACCGGAAGTATGAGCACAATCATTTCTGCATTGACGCTACTTTGACTTTTGACGTAGTGCTGCAGTTCATCACTTTGACCACTAGATGTCGATAAACATACATTATCCTCAGGTTAGCCTTAAACTGTCTTAACTCTGGTATTAACATCTCTTAAGGTAAACTGGTCCTCACATTGTTAAAACACAACTCTTAAACCTGCAGTAACTTATTTTGGGGCGCTTAATGGCAATGAAAGCAGACTGAAAACACAACATCAACCTTTACCATTGTAAGGCAGATCAAGGCAGAGTGTGGTCGGGAATTCCTGCGCTATTCTAAGATTTGCAAATTTACAACCAGGCCTGCTAAAATGCTGACTCATTTCTGAGTTTTAGAACTCAGGGCACTCTATTTTTAAAAAAATCAATCATGCCTAATTCCTAACATATATATGATAAGTTCAATAAGAAATGTCACTTTTATAAACCACATTTTATATTCAATATTCCTATTTTCAGTGTACTTTTAACTGCTGCAAGCTGTAAACTGCCACAACAAACACAATTATGTTCATGTTTACATTGGTTATTTGAGCACAGGGAACCCAAATATGTGACTCTAAAAACAATCAGATCATCTGTGACTTGTTTTGACTTTGGTGTGAACAAAGAGGTTTCCTCCTTAGTGTGGAGGTAAACTGGTCTCCACACCAGGAAACAGTTGTAAGAGGAGCTCCTACATAATACAGTTATCACCAGTATTAATATTACTATTATTTTTATATGAATG